TACAACAGGGAACTCACAATAAGTCTGTATACGACAAGAACTGTTATTCGGCTAGACGATTTTTATTATTAAACAACTCCTAGTTTTTGTCTTTTTCCTCTTCTTCGTCCTCTGAAATCTGCAGGGCAAAAAATCATTTTCAATTTTATTATATAAACACCAGTGAAATACCAGGATTTTTCCTTTTACTAAAACATCATATCTTCATCGCGCGCAGTGAAGATACTATTTTTATCTTTCACACCGTGAAGATATCACTCCTTTTTATAACATTTTTCTTTTGTCCCTTTCACTACACTTAAATTTGTTGATGTATGATCGAAACATCTTCCGATCTTCTTCGGTCTTCTTCGGCAATCTTCGGCAATTTTCGGAAAATGTTCGGAAAATGTTCGGAAGCGTTAATATGGCCTTCGGAACAATTTTGGAAAATCTTCGGGATCTTCGGAAAGTGGTCGGAAATATTCGGAGAATCGTCAAAAACGTCGTCATTAGTGTGTTCAACTCAATATCGATATCTCATGAGTGAGCTGCGCTCACTTGTGAGATATCGAGTTGAACACTCGAAGATAAAATTCGTATCCACGCGCGGGCATGTAATATCCTCTATATCTCTCGAGCAGGTTGTAGAAGATAAGTGATATTAAGCCTGCGACCCACCAGTCGATTGAATGCGTTGTCGCGGCGATTTTCATCCCTAGCGAAAATAGCAAGGAAATTTCGTCGCAATTTGCTGTTAACACGTTCGTTGACTGATGCAAAATCACCGGCGGATTTTTTAGGTGATGTTTGACATAGCAGACATATCGACGATTTCGAGTCTCGTAGCGGAGATCAGAATTGCTAGTGAAAGCACGCGTTAGTAGCAGTGAGCACATAGGGTGACTTTTCTCAATCGCCGGACAATTATAATATAATGTATTTTTTGCTCACAAGCTGAGGGAATGGCTAACGATTTCTGTCGATTAAAACGTTACATGATTAAAATACATCAAAAAAATGTAACTTAGTGGTACTTACATCCGCACTACAGGGCTTCTGATAGGTTGCGGAAAAAGGTCAAAT